GTGGGGGTGGGGTGGGCACAGTACCTATAAAGCTGCCAGCGAGAATTCAGGTCCAGCTGCCAAACATCCTGGATTTCATTGGCCTCGGCCTCAGTCATGGTGTTCAGCTTGCGAAGTTCAACCTTCACCTTCTTTTTCATTTTCTTTTTCTGGTTGCGCTGGGTCTGTGGATATCAATACCAGTCAGAGTCACTGAGTAGAGGTGGGCCTGGTTCTAAGCCCAAGGCGGGGGCTAGAGCACATTTAAAAAAGGAGCTGTCATCTCTGATGAACTTCTCTAAGTGTCTCACACTCTCCCAACAGATATTTCATTGCTAAATGAGGGCTCTGGAGCCAGTTTGTCTGGGTTCAAAGTCCCATCTACCTCTTATATGTTGTGGGACCTAGAGTAAGTTACTGAACCTGAACCTCTATGTGCCTCAGCATCCCCTTCCATAAAATGGGAATAACAATAGTACCTCTTCACAGAGTTGCTGGATTGACTGAAGGAGTAAATACATGGAAAGCACTTTAGAAGAGTGCTGGCACTAGTCATTACTGAACATCTTTGACCACAGTCTGCTTCTCATTCCTAAAGCACATGTCATGACAGTAGTGGAGGTGCGTCTCTCTCGTTAAATGCCATACAGGTCCTGCTAAGATGGTCTTAATGCCGTTATATCAAGATAGTACCTTTAACAAGTGGGTAAAAGGCACCATTTCGGAGAAAGTGCTCCCCCCGGCTCTGCATGAGCCTTTAGAAGGACTGGCATGCCAGATAGATGTCACAATACTATGGACCCCCCTCCGCTTCAAAACCAAACAATTCAACTCCTCCAGAGGCCAGATGGCAGATGCCCAATCCATGCTTCCAAGTATTGGGCTCATGATTCTGTCCCTCGCATAGAGATGTTGAACTGAACTAGGAGATCAGATTCAAAGCCAGCAGACTGGAGAAAGCTGCATTCAAAGCTGCCCTTAAAGTCCCTTAAATCATCAGTGGGGTTCAGTGTTCTATTGTCAGAGTAAGACACGGTAAATTCTGAGGACCACTAGGTTCTACCAAAGGAAGGAGCGGACAGAAAGTCTGGGCATTTATACTATTCTGGCTCTAAGAGAAATATCAAATTTCAGAGTGATTGAAGGATAAATATTCCATCCAGTCTACATAGCTTACTTCATTCTGTTTTACTTGAATCCTCTAAAATCTTAATGCACAGACTTGTTTGTAGTTGAAAAGAGAATATCCATGAAAGCACCAAGCACTGAGACCGTAAGTGTTTGATCTGACTCATATGTGCTGCACTTCTCTAAAAGTTCAAGAGAAGCACTTGGCTACCTACTTCCTGTCTTTCTAAGTTAGCATTTCTTGCCAGGGCCCCTCTAAAAGGCCATAATTTTTATACTCTTGGAAACTGGACCCATCTTTTTTTTTTTTTTTTTCCTGCAGTACGCGGGCCTCTCACTGCTGTGGCCTCTCCCTTTGCGGAGCACAGGCTCCAGATGCACAGGCTCTGCGGCCATGGCTCACGGGCCCAGCCGCTCCGCGGCATGTGGGATCTTCCCGGACTGGGGCACGAACCCGTGTCCCCTGCACTGGCAGGCGGACTCTCAGCCACTGCGCCACCAGGGAAGCCCTAGACCTATCTTATACTAGGATTAGGTTGTAAAAGGGTAAATTAAGCTAATTATGAGGATGCAGTGAATACGGTGCAACAGAAGTGAGTGAAAATCAGGGGCTGCGGTTCTGGTCAGAACATATGCTCTCAGGCCTGTTTAGGAGAGTTACCCACACCCACCTGGCAATAATAACTGAACTCCCATTTCCTACTCTGTTAGGACTTGCAGGGGCTACGAGGAAGTGAGCTTACCTCCCACTCTCCTGCAGCCTGCTCCTGCCCGGCTGCTGTCCCGGGGCCATAGTTGTCTAGCCTCATGGCCAGAAGCACTTTAGCCAACTCCTGTACTGCCCCATTCTCTTCCTTCTTCCGTCGCCGGGGCCTCACCACCTCTTCCTCCTCAATCATCCGGTCTGCTTGAATCAGTTCAGCCTCCTCTGCGATCTCAATCAGCGAACCCTCCTCTTCCCCTTCTTCCTCCTCCTCCTCCCCTTCTGCCTTGGCTAAGAGAGGAAAGCAGTCAGGACAGGGATGGAGACTCTTGAAGCCAAAGGATGAAAAAGGGTACCTATAAGAGCTTAGATGCATGAAGACATTCTTAAGGGGTTTAAGTGGTTACCTCTGGGTAGGGAAATGGGAGGAATGACAGGGGAGAGAGACTTAGGTTTCCTTGCATACATTTTTGTTACATTTAAAAAATCACATGAATGTATGCCTTTTTAAGGAAGGTTTTACTTATGTCAAATACATATACAAAGGAAAGTATACAACGTAAATGTGCAACTTAAAGGATTATAAAAGTATATAAAATGAACATCCAAGTACCTTCCACCCAACTTAAGAAGCAGAAAGTTACCAATTTCTTTGAAGACCCTTGTGGGCTCTACTAACCTGAATTCTATATTAGTCATACCTCCCTTTTAACTTTACCACATATATAATATATATATATCTTCAAACAACCACCATCATCTAGTTTTGACTTTTCTGAGCTCTATATAAATGAAATCATACTGTATATATCAATATTTTCCTATAACTTGCTTTTCTCATTCAGCATGGTTTTGGTTTTTTTTTTGCGGTATGCGGGCCTCTCACTGTTGTGGCCTCTCCCGTTGCAGAGCACAGGCTTCGGACGCGCAGGCTCAGCAGCCATGGCTCACAGACCCAGCCGCTCCGCAGCATGTGGGATCTTCCCGGACTGGGGCACGAACCCACGTCCCCTGCATCGGCAGGCGGACTCTCAACCACTGTGCCACCAGGGAAGCCCAAGCATGTTTTTGAGTCATACATATTGCTGTATATGCTGTAATTCAATCCTTTTCACAGTTGTATCCATTATCTGAATAGATTGTAATTTATCCATCTGGTGTACAAATGTGGATGGATATTTGAGTTCCTTCTGCCTTTCTTTTATCATAAAGTGGTTTTGCCAATTAATATCGCCATTAGCCTCATATCAGAGTTCCCACTGCTCCACATTCTTTCAATGTGGGATTATATCAAACATTTAAATTTTTGCCAATCTAGTAGGTGTGTAATAGTATATCATTGTAGTTTTAATTCCTCTCATTTCTAATGAGCACTTTTCATGTTTATTGACCATGAGGATTTATTTTGTGATGTGCTTATTAAAAGTCTTTTATCTGTTTTCCTATTAACCTATTATTTGTCTTTTTCTGATTGATTATAGCTCTTTACTTTTAAGTCCTGCTCTTCTAGTCTTTACCATTCCACCTTAAGATGTGATTCTAGGCAGACATGCACCTCTTACCTGTATTTTCAGGTCCTGCTGGAGCAACACTTTGGGTGAAAGAACCAACACCTAGACCCAGCCACTCCAGCATCATGGAATGCTTCCAGCCCTGGAAGCAAACCCATTCGCTATTCTGAGGAAAGAATTATTAGTCATGAGACTAATGAGAATTATTAGTCATAAGAATTATTAGTCATGAGTCATTAGTTCTATGACAACTAGCATGAGGAAAGGTCTTCTCAAAGGATCAAGAGGTAATTCCCTTAAAATTCTCTTAAAAATGCAACGTTTGGGCAACTGGCTCATTTAATATGACTTGCATAGATTTAAAAACAAAGATTTCCTGCCTCTTTTGAAAAAATCAGGAGCTATGGGAGCAATGAGCCTGCATTCCTAAATGGCAACAAATGGCCGAAGCTGGCTGCTGCCACCCCTTTTCCAGTTTGCCTCAGTCCTTGCTACTTCCCAACGCCTCACATCTAGCCTGCTTCAGTCCTTTATAGGACTCTCACTGACCCTTTTAGGCTTTGGGGCTTGAAACCCTGGAAATCACCAACCCATTGATAGTAGAGCTACCATCTCACTGGATTCCTGGCCAACCACTTTACAGAGATCGTGTCAGGTACTTCCCTGGTGGTCCAGTGGTTTAGACTCTGTGCTTCCACTTCAGGGGGCATGGGTTTGATCCCTGGTTGGAGAACTAAGATCCCTGCATGCCGCACAGTACAGCCAACAAAGAAAAAAAAAAATACACAGATAGCAGATACTTCTTATAATATCCTTTGAAGGCAGGCGTTATTATTATTGCTGCTTGACTGCTGAGGGACCTGAGGGTCACACTGGCTCAAGTCACAAGTCTGTGTGACCAGTCTGTCAAGTCCCAGACCCTCTATATGTGCTAGGTTGCCTCATTATGATTTTGTTTAATTTAACAAGCACTTAGAGCACTTATTAAATCAAGAGGTTTACAAATATTGACTTGTTTATTCAATAACAATCCTATAAGAAATAAGTTGATCTGTAAGAAACTGCCATTTTTGCAAGTTAAATTTTAAAATATTGGCAATTTCACGGGGTTCAACTTAATGTTATTAGCCGCACTTTTTTTTTTTTTGCCACGCCTCACGGCTTGCGGGATCTTAGTTCCCCGACCAGGAATGGAACCCGTGTCCCCTGCAGTGGAAGCCTGGAGTCTTAACCACTGGACCTCAAGGGAAGTCCCTATCCCCACTTTATAAAAGAGGAAACAGGAACAAGAAAATTAAGTAACTTGCCTAGAGCAAAATCAGTATTCACATCCAGCAGACTGGCTCCAGAGTCTTGTTTCTGACTAGTATATTCAGCTGCCTTTTCTCACGAAAAGGAACTTTTCACATCACAGCAGCATCTTAGCAGATTATAGCTAATGCTTTGGACTTCTACTTCTGCTGCCAAATATGGGGACAAGAGAGATGCTTGTGCCCCACAAGATGACCCCTACCTGTACTGGTCCATTCATCAGGCTTTTCCAGTGTTGGAGGGAGATGTACTTCTCCAGATGCTGTTCCCGTAGTACGCCACGCATGGTGCACTCCAGGGTCTGGGCCCCTTCATGCAGCTCTTGCTCTGACTCTTTCATTTGTGTCACGATCTATCAAGAACAGAGGGAAAGAAATGATGAAGAAGTATCATCATGTCCCAAACTCAGTCTCTGCCTTGAGGGAAAACAAAGCTAACACAGGAACAGCCAGTCTTTAACCAAAGGATTAATATCTAAAATGTCTAAAAACCTCCTACCAACTAGTAAGAAAAGGAAACAAATAATACAACAGAAAAGCAGGCCAAATATACTGTGGTAGAGACCGCTCTCTTTTTTCCTTAGTAATAAGAACTCAAAGTTTTGGTTGGGCACAATGCTGCCCAGCTAGAAGATGATACTTACCTGGTCAACAGGCCGTAAGTAAAAGTGCTATGGGTGGTTTTGGGGAAGTAGCTTTAAGGCCCTGGCAGGGGCTGGGAGGGGTGGTGTGCCCTTTTCTGTCCTTTCCCCATCTTGGATTATGAGGGCAAAGATCACACCGTAGGATTACCCGAATGGAATGCTGGAAGGAACCAGGGTCCTTCACAGCTTTGTGGAGCCTCCCTATCTCCCCTGGACTGCCTACCCAGAAAGCCACTGCTATCTTGGTTAGTTCTCCCTTGAGCTACCTCAGATCTCCAAAGCTGGGACTTACACTCATGTAGGCCCTTCGGAGGTGCATGGGGAGGTTGCGGCGGAATTCCCGCTTGTTCCTCAGCTCCCTCAGGGTGAACTGCTTCAGGATTTCACTGTTGCTCCTTCCACCTACCCGCACAATGCTGGTCTTTTGACACTTATAGATGCCTGTGGAGCAAAGCAGAGCATGGCAGAGTTAAGAGGAGCTATGCTGGATTCTCTCAGGTGAGAGCTGTGTATGTTTGGGATGTTGTTGCAGCCGGTCCCTTAGGGTACAAACTGGTACTTACAGGGAACCTACCCCACCAGTGAACAAGAAGGCCCCAGAGATGATGTGACCTGCAGAGCAGTAAAGTGTGGTGCTTAAGAGCACAGGCTTTAGAATCAGACACTTGGGGAACCAAGTCTTGTCTGCACACTTACTGCTATGTAACCTGGGGCAGGTTAGTTAAGTTGAGCCTCAGTTTCTTTGTCTGTGATTTGAAGACAGTAATACTTTCCTTATAGGGCTATAGTCTGGATAAACGAGAGAGTATCCTTATAGCTCCTAGGGAGGGCCTGGCCCAAAGTAAGCATTAGTAAATGTTCTCTATTATTCACTCTACAGATATTTACTAATTGCTTATTTTGTGCCAGGCGTGTGTTAGTTTCTGAAGATACAGTGGTCAAAACACAGGTTCAGTTCCTCATTTGTTCTCATGTCTCACAGTCTACCAGAGAAAATACATATTAAACATTTTATCATAATAAAACTTAATACTATAAATACATGCTAAAAGTGTATAACAGGGGACCTTAACTAGCTTGGGTGGGGCAGAGATCTAATTTTTAAGGATCTAATTTAAACTGATACTCTAGGAATAAGGAAGATTTAATCTAGGTGAAAGGAGGATATGAAAGAGTGGAAAATAATAGTCTAAGCATTATTTTCCAGAGGAAAAACAAATACTTATTCATTCATTTATGCAATTAGTATTGTTTGAGTGTCTAGTATGTGCCAGGATCTGTGAATATAGCAAGAAACAGGACCAATCCACTTAGTGTTTATAGTCTAGGGTAGAGACACATACAAATAAACTGGTACATATATGCTAATTAAGTATTTGAAGGAAAAAATACAAAAGGAGTCTTAACCTTGTCTGGGGCCAAGAGGGCAAGTCCACATGAAGTGAGACCTGAGGAATCAGCTGGAGCCATCCAGGCTGGGTGCATCAAGATGGAGACAGCGGGAGAAAGAAAAAGTACATGCTAGGCAGAGGGAACAGCATGGGCCAAGGGAGAAGCTGGAGAAGTCAAGAAACTGTAGACAGTCAGGGTTGCTGGAGTTAGAGAGAACAAGGGAAGAGGTAGGAGATGAGGTTCAGAATTAAGCTGGAGCAAACCACACACAGCCTTTCAGGCTGTGGACTTTATCCAAAGAGCAATAGAAAGCTACTGAACTTGCTGATGGTTCAAAGTCGAGAACTTTTTTTTTGGCCACACTGCACAGCCCGCAGGATCTCAGTTCCCTGACCAGGGACTGAACCCGGGCCACAGCAGTGAAAGCCCAGAATCCTAACCACTAGGCCACCAGGGAACTCCCAACAGAGAACAATTTTGCCTACAGATATTACCTTCCAGAAACTGGTCCAAAGCATGATTAGTATAACACACAACCAAGATGGGGAACTTCTGGAGGCTAATTTGCCAAACAGCCTCGTTGGTTAGAAGGGCCTGAACAATTTTTAGACCCACATAGGTTTTGCCTAAAAAACAAGGAAAAAGGAGAGTTAAAAAACTTAGAGACTTTCTAAAAGGAGTAATTATGTACAGCAAATTATTATTATTATTTAAAAATTTAAGGTAATATATTGAGATGGTTTAAAATCCTAGAAGCGCAAATGGGTGTGTTATGTCCTCCTCACTCTTCTGCCCCCAGCCACCTAGTTCCTCTTGGAAGCAACCGGCGTTACTAGTTTCTTGTGTAACTTTCCAGAGGTAGTCATTCTATGCACAAACAAAAACGAATATACAGTCTTTTTCTAGCCTTCCCCTTCCTTTTTAAAATACAAACAGTAGCAGACTATTTTCACCGTTCTACATCCTGCTTTTTTCACTTAATATAGTTCTCTATCAGTACATAAAAAGAATCCTCTTTTTGTTTTTCAGGGCTGTAAGGCATTTTTTTAGCCAGTTTTCTGTTGATGGACATATACATTGTTTCCAATCTCACACAGCAAATTATTTAGAAATGCTTTTTTTTAAAAATAAATTTATTTAATTTATTTTTGGCTGTGTTGGGTCTTTGTTGCTGAACGCGGGCTTTCTCTAGTTGTGGTGAGCGGGGGCTACTCTTTGTTGTGGTGCACAGGCTTCTCATTGTAGGGCTTCTCTTACTGCAGAGCACGGGCTCTAGGCACACGGGCTTCAGTAGTTGTGGCATGTGGGCTCAGTAGCTCTGGCTCGCGAGCTCTAGAGCACAGGCTCAGTAGTTGTGGCGCACAGGCTTAGTTGCTCCGTGGCATGCGGGATCTTCCCGGACCAGGGCTCGAACCCGTGTCCCCTGCATTGGCAGGTGGATTCTTAACCACTGCGCCACCAGGGAAGCCCTAGAAATGCTTTTAATATACCACAGTAGACTTGCCTTTGTGATAGGAGTGAAAAACTCACAGAAATCAACATCGGAGTTAGAGTTATGGGCTCATTAATAAATGGTCAATAATTAATTGTTTACAAACAGCTAAATTCTTACATTGTGTCAAGCTGAGAAGCCACTGTCCTAAAAAATACTCAATGTTGAGTGAGCAATACAAGAAAATAAACATTTCAGTACAGCTGAATACTTTTCAGTATAGATAAATAACAATTTCTTGCTGCCTTTTTTTTCTTCAAATAATATGTATTGAGTGCCAAACAGGTGTTAGACACTGGGTTAGGTGCAAGAAATACAATGGTGAGCAAAATAGCCATGGTTCTTATCTTCCTGGACCTGACAGACTTGCAGAAGAGAAAGATAATCACACAAACAAATGCAAAAATCACAAATGTGGGAAATGAGAAATACAAGGTACCAAGAAAACAAATAATTGGGATTCTGGCCTACTCAATGAGATTAGAAGAGGCTTCCCTGGGAAAGTGATAACTGAGTAAGAGCGGGCAAGGCGGAATAGGGATGGACTGGTTGGGAAGTTCCTGACATCTTCCAGTGAGTGAGGACAAGGTCTGGCTCCAGCAGTTGAGATAATTACGCAGACTGGGGAGAAGTTTCAGAGATAAACTTGATTGGAACTTGATAATGGTTTGGCTGGGGTGAGGAACAGAAAAGGATAACTCCTATGTTTCTAATTTGGAGGACTGGATGGCTAAGGAGTCCTTCGGAGGAAAGAAAATCTTTATAATTCAATATTTACCCCATCCTCTCCTACTGCTTCCTTCCCCTTGGAATGGATACTTTTCGGGATTTCCACCTCAAAAATGACCCCCTTTGTCACATCCCTCTCAAACTCACAGGCTGCTTCTTAGTAGCTCTGCGTGTGTGTGTGTGTCAACCTAGCGTGTTGTCACATCCCTCTCAAACTCACAGGTAGGCTGTTTCTTAGTAGCTCTGTGTGTGTGTGTGTGTGTGTGTGTGTGTGTGTATCAACCTAGAGTGAAATGATTATGTTACTATACTTGGAGCTAAAGAGTCTCAAGTCAAATGATAACATTAGGGGAAATTAGTTGCAACATGCATATTTTGAAAATACAAACAGCTTCTATAAATCAGTAAGAAAAAGAAACCATTCAACAGAAATATGGCAAATACGAAAAGGCAATCTACAGAAACAGTTATATAGATAGCTAATAAAAACAAGAAAGGATATTTAATCTCACTCTTGATTAAAGAAATACAAATTAACCACTGTGATATACATTTCCAGAGGACAATTTGGCACTATCTATTAAAATTACTAATTCACATATTCTTTGATTCAGTTAGGGATTTCTCTCCTGGATATACTCTGCTTCTGTGTGAAATGACTCACAAACAAGGTTATTCACTGACCTATTGTTTGTATCAGTAAATCTTTCCATAGGGAACTGGTTAAAGAGATTATGAGCTATCTATACAATGGAATATTATGCAGCCACAAACAGGAGTGAGATAATACTTATGCACCAGTATGAAAGGATCACCAATGTATTTTATAAGTGAGCAAAGCAAAACACATGCAAAGTGTTTTCTAGCATAGTGAGTCAAAAAAAAGTGGGGGGAAATAAATATAAGTATGCATTTGCTTGAATATTCATAGACTATCTCGGGAAGGATAAACAGGAAGACAATAACATTGCTTTAGATAAAGGTACTGGGTGGGATGGTGGGAGGAGAGAGATGTGGAATTTTTAAAATATCTGAACCATTTTTTATTAAAACATAAAGTTAAAATTAATAATGAGCCAAAAACTCTAACCTCTCAGATCAGCAAAAACTGCTGATGAGCAAACACTGATAACATACAACAATGCTGGAAAGTATATAAGGAAATGGGAACACTAATTCATTCTCGGTGGCAGTACAAACTGGTACATCCTTTTTCTTCTTCTAAAGCCCTGAAAGCATCACTTTAATTATGCAGATTTTCCCATCATATGGGTGTTTCTTATCAGAAAGAACTTTCCATTTTGTTACATTAATTTTTTATCATGAGTTGCCATTCTTTTATCGTTATTTTTAAAGAACCTCTTCCTGTTTTGTTTTTTATTTTTTAAATATTCTTTTGGGAGGGTAATTTAGCAGTACCTACCCTAACTATTAATGTGAATTCCCACGTTAGGAAAAAAACTACAGAAATAATAAGCAGAGTACTCAGAGATAAACACACACAGATATAGATTATGAATACTTATTAAGCACTGTCTATGAAACCAAAAAAAAAAATCTTGGTGCATTCATGCCATGAATGCAGGCATGGTAAAAAAGAGTGAGGTATATTTCTAAATGTGACTGTAGTGTAAAGAATGTAAAAATATCCGTACATGTTATATACATATATATAAACTGTAGGCCAATATATAGAGCATAATCTTGTTTTTGTTATTTAAAAAAATAGGAAAAGTGTGCTATGTAAACATATAAATACCCATAAAGACACAAAGATATATCAGTTTTAACTTTGGAAAACATCTCAAAAGACACATGTCAAACTGCTAATAGTAGCTATCATCTCAGAGGAGGATTAGAGAGTGGCACACAGGGAGGAAGATGTAGGGAAGTATATTTCCAAGAGAAGAGAGAGAGAAGCCAGGAGCCGGCTTCTAGACTGCCTGAGTTCTAGTCTTAGGTCTGTCACTTGTCATCTGTGTGAGCTTCAACATATTATTCAACCTCTCTTTGCCTTAGTTTTTTCCATCTGTAAAATGGAATGGTTTCTACCTCACAGAGTTGCAATGAGTTAACAGATGCAAATCATATACAGCAGTATTTGGTGTCCAGTGCTATTATATACCTGATATTATTTAACTTAAATTTATATAAGATCAAGCAAATTAATATAGCCTGCAACGGAGCAGAAGTAATGCATCTCCCTAAGTCTGACCCCTCAGCAGTCTTACTACGCACACCAATGGGTCCTCACTGGAAAATCACTATGAGAAGCTGCTTTTTCAACAAGTTCAATGCCCATTTCAGGGCAATGTTTTAAACTGAGACATTCCAGAAACCTAGAGTCAAGCCTCCCTTGCCTATCTCACAGGGCAGATGTCATGTGCTCTGAAAAATTTTCTCTTACCTGTTCCAGGAGGTCCTTGAATAATAGCCAGTTCTCTTGTGAGAGCAAACTGCAAGGCTTCCATCTGGGAGTCATCCAGCTTCAGGGTTTCTTTTGAGGGCCACTGGCTGGGGTCTAAGACATTAACTCTGGGATGTCTCAAGCCCTCAGTATTCCTCAGAGATTCCCCAGTGGCAGAGGGATCCTTTATTAAGGGAGTGAAATCATATCTGCCCCCCATTAGCAAGTACCTTGGCTCCTTCACATAAGAGTCACATTCCACGATGTTCCTCTGGAAGGGGATGTCTTCCTCTTGGACTTCCTGGAGTCCTTCCAGGACGTGCCTATAGGCCTCAAAGTATGCAGTTGTCTCCACCATGAGGAAAGAGTCAGAGGGCTGGACATCTGTTAGCAGCTGTTGGCTCTGCTCATTGAAGCAGAGCTGGACAATTCCTCGGCAGAGATCTTCCTGCTCCCGATTAGACACAGTGGCAAAAAGAAATGTCTCAAAGTTGTCCTTGGACATGCACACCAAGGACCCATAGAGCAATCGCTTGGAGTTCTGCCAGCGAACAAACTTCAGTGATTTTGTGTCAAATTGCACCTTGTAGACAATGCCTGTTGACGAACACACGGGGGTGATGATCCTGGTATCAAAGTAGATTCGGATGTCATCAAACTTTCTCTTCCTCAGGCCTTGGTCTTCAAAGCTTTGGAGAAGTTCCAAAATGCCCTCCCGCAGGGGTCTGACAAAATCCTCTCGCAGGAGTCGGAAGTGGGTATCCAGATAGATAGCAGTGCTGTCGTATTTTCCAGAAATGATGTTGGGGCGAAGGAATGGCCTCTCATCCAAGTGCACTTCATTGTAAGTGGGGTAAATGGGCATGGTCCGGTAGCTCTCAACATGGTCTTCTGCCTCAGGCTGCACGAGAGTGTAGGTGTCCACTCTTAAAGTGCCCTCTCGTCTCTTTTCCTGCAGATGTTCGATGATGGTCTGGACCTTTTCCAGGTTCTTCTCTGTCTCTTCTCCTATGTCAACACCAGAGGCTCTCAAAGCATTAAGAGAAGCTGGCAGGAGAGAAATGAGCATGGAAGTTTCCTGCACAGAGCTGGCAGGGAAGACACTTACAAGGTCCTGGAGGAGGGAGATGATGTTGCTAATGTGTTCTGGATACTGGTTTCGAACATGGGGGATGGATTCAGTGATCATCCCTACCACATAAGCCGGCAAGCAGACTTTGAGGAATGTGGAATTCTTCAATATGCCCAGAACATGGAGAACGCTGTGGCGGTCCATTTTGGAACTGCAAGCCTTCCGAAGAACTTGGCAGATGAGCTCAAGGAAGTTGGACTTCATAAAAGAATGAGACAAGAGCTCCTTCAGTCCTAAACTTGTGGCAAGTGTGATGACCACCTCAGAGGGATCTTTCTGCAGAAGACTTTCTAGGAACTTGTAGCCCAGTTTCTTCACCTGCTGTGGCTGTTCTGCAGGCTTTTGGTGGGGGTTCCGCCACTGCTGAAAGTTTTCACCGGATCGTGGTGGTCTGCGGTTCCTTC